CACTACCATTGCGCCCGTCACCCTGAGACATAAGTTGACAAGTCCCACGTGCCTATAATTTCACCAGCATCCTTAGTTGGCTGTAATGTCAGCTTTATCGTGTTCCGGTTTTGAAGGGCAAGGGTACTGGTGAAATTATAGGCACATGGGACTTGTCAACTTATGTCTCAGGGTGACGGGCGCAATGGTAGTGCCCCTCAGATCTTTTCGAATTTAAAGCTCTGAATGGCACTGTAATTGTTATGGACAGACGTGTAGCTTACCATCAGGTGTACGACTTGTTTGTCTCACCACCTGATGTTATAAAAAAACAGTACGCTGGCTTGTTAAGTCTCATCTGATTTACTGATTCCATATAAATCGATGAACTTATAAACCAACTTAGTCTTTTATGTACCCGCGTCATACTTCATGCCGACTGTCCCCTCACTTCTAACGAGACCCATTTCAAACTTACCCACCACTGAATTACATACCCAAAGCATAACGACATCGAATACGAATGATTTTTCTCACTGCTTACATTTGAATTTTAAACCACATTTGCATTATTTCCCGCTAAAGTTTTAAGCGTGTTCAGAAACAATCAAGTTTGCATTTGTAGAGATACGAGTATTCAGTGACCGCTGAATCTTTCAAATCAGCAAACTAGTCATGCGTGTAAGCCCGGTCATTAACATTGCAGCGCGATATGCTTATTAAGCAAAATAGTCCAGTTATCCTTAATTAAATGTAATTATTATAGGTTAGTGTCTTTGTTCGGCAAGTGGAGACGGCCTTATCGACTGGGCGGCGCCGGTGGTGCGCGCTCGGCCGTATTCGGCTCAGACTCGGCTCTCGTCGTTTGCCTTCGCCGCTGCCGCGCCGTCGACGTTCGCCACTTCACTGGAAATTTAAGGGCTGCGTTAGGGGTTTTCTGACAGGCGCTTTGCGTCTGCAGATCGGCCATGGCACCCAAACGCTATTACATAACACGCCAATATCATACAATACAATAACATGTCGCCTAAACTTTGAACCCTACACCTAACTTTTGGAGACATAGCTCATCATTAAATTATATTATATAAAATAGACGTCACCTAAGATAGAATTTAAGCGCTAACACTCTCGAAATAAGGAGAAAAATTCAAGCTCGTCAAAGCAAGAGCGGCGAGTTCAAAGGAGACTAAAGCACGACCAATTGTCGTCACGATAAAAAGACGAGAGTAGCAATTTTCCTTTGCCGACAACCCTTTGCGAGGCGAGAGGCTCGCGCGCTCTGGCTCCGGGCGCGCGGCGAGGTGGCGCGAGGTGGCGCGGCAGCACATGGCGGCGGCGCGGGGCGGGGGCCGGGCGGGAGCGCGGGGAGGCTGCCCGGGCCGCCCCGCCTCAGTGGCGGCCTGCAGTGGCACCGACGCGCGTGTCGCCTCCGACACTTCCGCCCCGCGCATACCTAGCCGCTCATTTAGCAGCAAGCGCCGCACAGCGTGTGGTGGCGGTGCAGCCTAGCGGGCCGAGCCCCCGGGGCCGATGCTCTACCGAGCCGGGCCCGTCGCCGGCCCTAGTCTCGACCGCCGCGCCTGATCGGCATGTGAAACCGCGCCACGCCGCTTCGCAAAATGATCGTGTGTTCGATTGTTTACGTTAACGGTAGTTGATAACCGACGGGCCGGCGCTGGCATGCTAATGTGAGTATCCGTTTGCTCTAAAATGTGTGAAAAACAAAGTCTGGACAGCCGTGAGTCCTATAGAGCCGCACGACTGTCCTTTGCGTATCGAGCCACATGTAAAATTCACTCCCTCGCCCGAGAAAAAAAACTGCTATAATGCCTCGCATTACACTCGGTCTGAAAGTGAAACATTACGTTTTCCTGCAATGCGACATTGTGCGAACGCGCTCTGACAAAGTTTTCATACATTATTAACGTACGAGTGTCATGTCAGTGGCTCCGCACATCCCTCGGTGGACTGAGACTCGAATATCGTAACGGTCTCCTCGGGCAGCATTAATATGTAAATTAAATTAGTCGTCTTCATACATCGCAAGGCCGTAATGTAACAGTGTTTTGTCGGCGTGAGTAGTTAATGGTGGATATTGTTGACAGTCGGACTGTTCGACGTGGCGATTTGTGGACTTGTCGCGCACGTGAGGTCGCGGCGGCAGTGCACGCGGGTGAGACGCGCGTGGGACTGAGAGCGGGTGCGGACGCGGGCGCGGAAGCAGACGCGGGAGCGAGCGCGGCGGCGGCGGCGGGCAGGGCTCGGTGCGCGCGCGGCGGCCGGCTGGCGCCATGCGGCGGTAGCGCGGCGGCGCGGCCGAGCGGCGGGCGAGCACTCGTGCGCTCTCGGCTATGTGCCCCCTTTGCGCTACATTGTAAGTACTATTAGCTTTAGTCGTAGCCATATTGTAGCATTTTCCATCTCATACTGATACAAAAATTATTGTTTTAATATCGTAAAAAAATCATCACCGGGATACGTAACATTATGTTTTTTTCACAGTAGGTCTCTAGTAGAGAGAGGATAAATATATATCTAATAGAGTCATACGTTTAGTCTACGTACGTGCATTTGAACCGCTATAAGTGGCACCAATCCCGGAATAAAACAAGTTAAGGTTTACGCAAAGTTATAATGTACATTTGAAAGCTTTTTGACGCTCCAATACTTAAAAGTATAGATATTTAATAAATTTTAAGCTACAGGCAAAAATCAAACCATTTTTAAAAATCTCCTTCAATAATAACAAATGCATATTTGCCATATCCAGCACATATTTGTTAAAAATGACGTAGAAAATCAATATTGTTTCGAAATCTAAGAAATTATGGTCTATTATAATAGTAGTACATTATTGATGAAAATAATAATTGAAAGCCTAACAGTTTTGTGAAATCCACAGAAACTAATTACATATCAAAATTTTTCGACTGGTGTACTTTACATATATTTTTTAATATTTACAACTTCTTAAAAAATCCACAATATATTGGGTCATTTTTAAGTGAGTTTTCTCTACCCAATTTCGGTGTATTTTTTTTGTTATTCAAGTATTCGAGCATATTATCGTTAAATATTAAATAATATTTCGGAATATCACACTGAAATATTAAATAATACTTCATGATAATATTCTCGAATATTCAAATAATAAAAATTGCCACTGAAATCAGGTAGAGAACACTGACCTGAAAATGATATCAATATAATAATATGATTTTTTTTTTTCCTTAAGAAAATAATATTTTTTCCTTAAGTAAATAATATTCTAAATTAAACCCACCGTTATTCTAGTAAGCTCACATTAACCGATTTTAATTTCTTATACCCGATCATGTTACGGTATAGAAAACCTTTATAAATTATCAATTTTATTTATTTACCTGCATTGTATCGTAATATATTGCTGCTAATTATAGTAACTTTAGTAGAATATTTTTCCATTTCCTATCAAATGACGTGGCGAAAATATCATAAAAAACTATTTAACTTTTTTAGAAAAAAAAACTTAAAACTCCGCTAAAATGGATTAAAACGGAGTAAAGACTATTAACGTGTAAATATACATATTTTGATTTTCATAGGTATTATCTAAACGATTATAACTTATCAATTACGGGTTTCTTGGACTTTATCTGTTATGAACTGTGTAAAAGCTTTATTAGGAGTTAATTACCCAAATCAAATTTGACAATCAACAGCGAAACGTCAAATCTGTGAATTTACGAGACACACACACAGACACACACACACACATTGGAAAATGGTTGTAAATCAGATTACAAGATTTGTTTACAAAGGTGCTTTGAAATCTTATTAAATAGAGAGTTTGTAATTTATTTAATTAATTATTCTAATATCCTTTCGGAGAATTGATTTAGTCAAAATGTTTAAATATTTCAAAAACCATATGTGGCGTAGGTAAGTTGGATAATTATATTCCTTGGAAAATTAAAAATATGGTAATTAGATTATTAATTTTTGCAATTGTAGTTCCGAAGGTGGTGGTTTCCATTAATATTAGACGTAACTGGTTGATGGCTTATTCCGTCTCAGTCAGCCGTGACCATGTGACCTGTAAAGAGTTCGAAACGATTTTTGTTCAAAAAAATTCGGTTTAGATCCCAGTAAATACTTTCATATCGAGTTACGAAAAACTTTTATTATTTTAATACTCGATAGAGCTGAGGCCTAACTGTCGTACTGAAAATTTTCTGTTTTAATCTGTAAAGTGTATTAATAGTTTTTGTAACTGTTATTCATGCTGACTGTCAAGTAAAGAGGTAAGAGATCATTAAGTGAAGCGAAGTATTGTTTTAAATAAAATGTATTTTTAATGACATTGCTTAAGCAGTTATCGTACATAAATGTTAAATGACACACGTAAAGACATTAAACTTTCAAAGTCAAACTTAATTAATTTTTATTGCATATGTATACAAATTACACTTGAAATCGTTATTGATAATAATAATATTTTGTTCAGTGAAAAATGCACATTATTACAAAGCTAAGCTAAAGAAACATAAGTACTATAATAGGCTGCTGAATGTACTCTTCAATTTAATGAAGTCACTACAGTCAAACTAGGAAATCCTGTATCTCAACATGTAGTGCCTGTCTCCTTGGTAAAAGCAATGTACAGGCCATTTGCAGAAGGAAAATGATCAACATTTGAAATGTGATTTTACATTCTTCATTTTAAAAGATTAAATAACTAATTTCGGAAAAGAAAAGAAAAAACATTGTTTGTGTATTTGCGTGTATGTGTATGAGTAAATGTGAGTGTGTGGGTGTGTGTGTGTGAATTGTGTGGCGGGTGAATCCATTGGGTTCCACCCCTATGTTGTGGATATTCCAAAGATTCGCACAAAGCGTTACGCTTCCACATTTGTATGGCGAACGTCTATGGAGTGGAATTCCCTTGATGTTATAACTTGTTCCCTGAACGCTATAACTTGAGTCTTTTCAAGGCGATTCTCCATCGTCGATCTCATCGTCACCGTCCATCAGGTGAGATGGAGGTCAAATGCGCATTTATGTATTATTAAAAAAAAAATACGCTCTTAGTTTGAGTAATTTTTATATGAACTGATGTGAAATAACTACCAATTGCGAAAAACTCTACTGCGAAGAAAGAGCAAGAAATTCTTGAGTTTGCATTTTGTAAATATACATTTAAGTACATTATCATTTTCAAAAATCCTATGTCGACACTACCTGCAAGAGCCAAACGGGCCACTACCACAGATTTTTACCGCAGAAGCTGTATGACGCTTAATATAAAGTCAGTGGTTTCCTATAGTTGTAAATCTCGTCGATGGCAAATTTTGAATATCAAACAAAAAGCGTATTAATTGCCTCTATGTGATTTTGTGAAGACGACTGTCTAGAACAGTTAATTTATTTTTATTCCTCGTTTTAGTGTTACGTCTGCCATTAATTTTTTCGTAGAATAATATTATTCTAAACAAAAATAACGTTTTCATAAAAGTGCTGTGACTCTTGTGTAAGAACTTCTCTCTAAGAAACTCTGAAGCCAAATTGTAAATTACCCTAACCGCACGTTTCTGCAGGACAAAGATTTTATTAATATCGGCCATACATATAAGGAAAGTGACCAAAATAACTTTAAAACATATAAACAAACTTTGAAAACGCATTTTTATCCGTCTTCATTTCAACCGGAAAATATAACACTAAAACGCAGCAATAGCTCTCCAGAAAATATATTCGTTGGCTCGACGCTACCGGAGCTATATCTATGCTAATACAAGTCTGCATATACGTACCTATTCGAATTCTTAGTACAACGTGCGTCACTGGTTTTGTCGCCAAGTATTTGGACTATGAGATAACCGAACTAGCACTTAAATATTTCATACGAATATCTTACAGAACTGTGTTAGGAATATTACTTAAGATAATAATAATTTTTAAATTATTTATGTCTTTATTTAATTGTTCTTTGAAATTCGATATTTTGTTATAAACTTACGACTTTTTGCCGTACCGCCATGTGATTTCCCACATAGAAAAAATCGTTAAAAACAAAAACAAACATCTTTAACAAGCACAAACGAACTAACGGACATTACAAATTTCTCTATTCGTAAGGTTCGTTTCGTGGCTTAGTTGGCATAGCATCTGCCACGGTTTGCAAAAGACGTTGGTTCGAATCCAGCCGTCAAAGGAATTTTTACTTAGTGTTCGATCTCTATGTTAATAATTAGAAAAATATAAAGTTTAAGAATATTACATTCATCCCCATTTATCGCATTTATTTATCATTTATTGTTTCATTCATAGATTGATCTACATCCATATACTTCTAACGTCAATTTGTCAAAATCGACATAGACTAAAATAAAAACTAATCATCTCAACTTTTTCATGATATCACCCGTCGCTTGATAATGAATAAGTCGTGATACGTCCTACTGATAAGCTGTTGCATTGCCACGGAGAACTTTCGCACAGATCGGATGGGAACGGTCACTATGCCCGTCACCCTCTGACATAAAGTTGGCTAGTTCTATCTGCCTGTAATTTCACTAGGAACCTTGCCCTTCAAAGTCGGAACGCCGTAATGCGCCATTACTGCTTGGCGGTAGAAATAGGCATAGTGACTTACTATGCAAAGTACTTCCCAGGACGAACTCTCTCACAAGAAGTTCTACTTTTATAGAATTTAAAGTCTTCTAACTTGAAGTCATGTGCTTGATCAGTCGGTATTCACAAAGCGTATACAGTAAGAACGTTTACACATGGTGACTTTTAACAGTGATGCAAATGCGATCCAGTACCGATGCTAATCGTCTACCTTTAGGCTCATTTCACACTGGCGCAGAGCCGAAGCGTCGCGACGCGTCATGTTTTTCGCCTATAGCATAATACAAACATAATGCGTCGAGCGATACAAACGCGCGATTGCATCGCTACACTTGTGTTTTATAAGTGATTACATCGATTGCATATGTGTGGGTGCGTCATTATTATTATTATTAATCGCGCGTTTGTATCGATGCAGTCGCGAGTTTGCATCGACGCAATCGCCTATAAATGGCTGTGTGTAACCATTCTTGCTGACCACAATTTATCCTCTGTTTAACCAGTCAAAGTAGTCGAGGTTCGGGTTTTAGCCTAACTCAAACTCTTCGTTATGGTCTTAATTTTTTGACATTATGCTTCGAAAGGAAAAGGTTAGTGCATGTTTTCCGACTGGTCATGACGACCAAACACACATATAGACCAAACAAATACTTATAGCAAGTATAAAGCAATGTCTAGTTCAATTCCGCTAGTTATGAAATATAATGTGGATATCAATAAAATATGGTCACGTCCCTATCTGTAGATTGTCAACTTTTTGCT